TGTGAGCTTATTGGAAACTTGGTTGCAGTTAAAATTTTGGATTATGATTATTTTGTTCAATTTGTTAGTTCAAAAGTTTTTAATTTGTTCATCAGTTGTAAACTTATTGGATAATTTGGCTATATTAAAAATCGTGGGTTATGATTTGTTGCTTTTTTAATTTTGTCACTTTTTTTTTTCTTTAATGTGTTACTCTTTTTTTAAAAAAAAATTGTCACTTTTTAAAATTTGTCACTTTTTAAAATTTTTGCCACTTTTCCGTGTTTGTCACTTTTTTCAGTTACCTTATTTATTTTTATCACTTTTTTTAGTGTCAAATATCACTTTTTAATAAAAGTGACATTATATGTCTTTTTTTTTTTTTTCATAAAAAGTGACAATTAACTATTAAAAGACATTGTGTCACTTTTTAATATTAGGTAGTATTTTTTACATCTGTAAAACTTTCTTATAATTTTTCAAAAGACTCCTAATTTTAAAGATATTTTTGTAAGTTGCCCATCATATTTACACACAGTTTTTGTTATTTGGATCATATTTTGCCTATGTTCGATTTATTTCATTTGCTAAAAGTTTCTTTATCAAACATCGTGCTAGATGCCAATTCTTTTATAATACATTTTTTCTCTCTTATTTTCAATCACACATTTTTTAATAAAATAATATTATACGCAAATTCAAAAAATTTCGTCATGTTTCAACCACATACTTTTCATGAAAACACTATTTAAAATACATTTTTGGAAGAATAACGTGGCTCAAAAAACATGCAAGTCAAACATTACTTTTAAAAACACATTATTACCAACCTTTTTTCATTTCTCATTTCTTAAAAAGCAACTTTTAGCAAATTACAATGATACCCAATCAGAGGCTTTAATTGCATTGAAGCTCCCTCAACTTTTGCTCATTTACGTATTAATGTCTCAAGTTTTTTTTCATCATACTTTTATTCTCAACATTCTATTAATCAACACATCTCATGTTTGAATACAACAAAAAATATATTAGGAGGGAGTAAATAGACTTTGTTTTAAAATAATTAAGATAAATAAGGAAAAATTCATAACTACAAATATTTAAAAATACAATTTCAAAATTGACAAACTTTGTGATATAGTTTCAAAAATCAAGTGTCACATTTGTGTGCTCTAGTTGTATGGTGTGACTTATAATTAAAATTAAATAAGTCATAATCACATACTAAATCACACAAGCTCACAAATACATAAAATTAATAGGCTACAAATAACACAATTAACTAGTAACAGTTACTATTCTTCTAACCTCTTCTCCCCACCTACCCTACCCTATCCTTCACTTCTAAATCTATTAGTCGTAGGACCATCACAATGCCACCACCAACTACAATGCCATCGCCAAGCAACCTCCCGAACTACAATTGTCGTCCGGTAGCACCATCGTCAACAACACCGCCATCACTATTGCAACATCGGCGTGCAGTAATCGTGGGTTCGCTTCATTTGCAGCTTCAACGCTTAAATCCTTCCCTAACTGCACGACAACCAGATTCACTCTGTGGCGATGATACCTGAATTGTCGCCATCCATGCCACATGCATACATATCTAATTTTGGCAATGGCTAAAGTTGGTGATGGTCACAGTTGGTTTTGTCTTGAAACCAATTGACCACATGTGTACAAATTTGATTTTTGAGGAGAAATGGAGTAGGAGATATGTGGTGTTGTATGGGTGGGGTGGATAACCTAATTTTATATTTAAAAAAATTAGTAGTGCCCCTGAAATTAAAATTTTAAAAGTAGGATCAAGACAATTTACTTCATTATATTATATAAATATAATAGCACAGAAACTTTTTTTCCCATTCTAACAAAATATTTGGACGTAAATCGTCATTAAAGACAATATATACTAATTAATTGAATGTTAAAAAAAATGACAAATTAAAAAGTTAGGAATATAAGTACAAAAATTATCAATATTAAAAAGTTATTATAATTAAAATGTGGTGCATTTAGTCAAAATAGTGATGTGTATACTGTATATGCCATGTAATTTATCTTTTTATGATACCAGGAATCTGTTTAACATGCCTAAATAAACACATCTTCAATGGTCAACTATTTGTTTAAGAGGAAATTACACAAAATCGGAATTTTAAAGATTCAATTTCAAAAATCAAATTAAAGGTTTCACTTTTCAAAAATCAAATATTTTATTTTAAATATTAAATATTAATTGTACAATTTTCACCACAAACCTTAATCAATTTCATTTCAATTTTCCACTTCCTTCTCTCTATCTCTTCTCACCGTCACTCTTTCTTCTCTCTTCTCCACTCTCCTCCTTCTCCACCGGCAGCCCAACCTCCACAAGACGGAGGGAGCAGGATGGACTATCGATGACGATGGGCATCATCTGTTGCCTTCGTGACTTGAACGTAGCTGCGTAGGTTCGGGCGCTTCTACTTCAGCGGTGGTCCCGTACTGGCGCGCCGATGTTGATCAGTAATTGCTAGCGTTTTCCGGTGCTTTCCTGTGTTTTGTGACAGTGGCATTTTTTTGCACAGCGAAGACGGCGGCTATGATTTTCTGGCAAAGCAGCAGTTATGGTTGGTGAGATTCACTTGGGCCAGATTTTGAATTGGAATGTGATTTTGTTGATTTTTGGGAGGCGGTCTGGTGTTTGGGCGACTGTTGGATTTTGTTGGTGTGGTGGTGAGGGTGGTTTTGTTGGTGGTTGTGTTGACGAGGTGGTGGTGTTGGTGGATTTGAAGTTGAAGATTTGTTGGAGGTGGTCGACGGCGATGATGGTAGGGTTGGGGTTTTTTTGGGTTGTAGGTTAGGGTGGTAGTGGTTCCGGCAACGGGATTCGGTTGCCATGTTGTTGGTGGAAGTGGTGAGGTGGTAGTCACAAGTGTTGGTGGTGGTCACAGATTATTTTGATTGTTTGTGACCATTAAATTGATTAATGTGACCGATAAACAAATTGTAACCAATGAAAAAGATAAATTGTGATAAACAAATAATGTGTGGCATAAAAATTATTAATTTGTGACCGATAATTTAATAATTTGTGACTTATAATATTTGTGACCTATAAATAATTGTGACGTTTCAATTTTTGATTTGTGATCGATGAACAAATTGTGATTTATAAAAATTTTGAATTGTGACATTAAAATAATTTGTGATATATAAAGTTTGTGATTTGTGACTGATAAAAAAATTGTGACCTATAAAATTATCGATTTGTCATTATGAAATAATTTGTGACCTAAATTTTTATTGTGATCGAGAAATAATTTATAATCAATTAATTTATAATTTGTGATCAAATTATATGGAATTGCGACCTTAATATATTTAATTAATAAAATATATGTTTAATTAATTAATTTAAAAATATTTAAAATTTGAAATTTTAAACTTAAAATTTAAAATTGGTAAAATTAAACATTTTAGTTATGATTCCATGGTTTAATGTGATGGCAAATAGGTAGTTATAAATCGAAAGATGGGCATAACTGTCAAATGAAGCTTCCCCCAAAAACAAAACAGAAGGAAATTTGGAGCCAAATCATCCACAAAATTTAAAGCAAAAACCAAAAATAAAATAACTGAATTCCACACAGATTCAGTGGATTATATATACAAAATTGTCATTTCAAAATAATCAACCGCTTTTGCTATTCAAGTCCATCACGCCTTCAATCATTTCATCGGATTTGTGAACAAAATTATCATCCTGTTGAATCGATTTTCAATGAGTAATTTACGAGCAATATGTAGGCCGCACTCGGTGTTCTCTTCGATGACAAGTTGTTACAGATCGATTATTAGGGTTTCTTCTACTGTAAACGCCAATAACAATCTCGGATCATCGTCATCGAGGCCTTTAGTGTTTGCTGTTTGGATTGATAGATTTGGAGCACAGAAGAAGAATGAAGAGCGAGTGAGATTGAATCAGCAGAGGAGGATGGTGGCCACTTGGGCTTCTAGTTGGACCGACCAGAAATCTCCCTATGAAACCCTTGGTAACTGTTTTCTTTCTTTTATTTTGTTATGGGTGGTATATTGAGTTGGGATATTTATAATTACGAGTCAGGTTCAGTATAAACTCACGAAATCATAGTCTTTAACCTTGATTAGAGTGAGTGACAACAGTAATTCAGTTGATTTATTTACACAATTATTACTTATGATATATGGGAATCAGAGTGGATTATTAACTAAGATAATTAGAACAACCCACACAACGATGGACTTGAACTCGGCCTGCCGAGGTTTTTATTGGTGAGGACCTTAGTCCTTTATGACTCTGGACCATGACATCATTAGTTGGTATAGTACACACCTTATTGTCATCATTCAGTTAATAAATTTGTAAGCATGATTTGGAGCACTCACATGCTCATATTTATATGTCTATGAGCAAGAAAATAAGGCAGAAGCATGGACTCTTGTCCTTCGATGAAGAGATATGATATTAGTCCAAACTGAATAAAGTGCCCTCTGAAATGCACAATATTGATATTTATTTACTGAATTCATCATTTCCGATGGCTAATTCATCTTCTTGACTGAAGGATTTCATATCTTTCAACCATCTTGTAATTTCTCTTTTTACTTTTCCAATGTTGTTGCCTTCATTGTCCCATCATACAAAAGATAAATCAAATGTCAATATATATATATATATATATATATATGATGACAGTTGTTCTACTTGTACATAATAGTTTACATAATGGTTTACGTACTCATAATGTGGAAAGAAATTATTGGGTTTGAATTTCTTCAATCAAATAAAAGAAAAAACTCCCTTACTCTCTTTTTGACATCTCATCTATATGTAAACCATTATATACAAGTAAAATTATTCATATGATAACTCTCCATTTTCTTCTCATTTTTCTATTTTCTTATTATTTTTAGGACATTTCTATAGTTATGATGCTCAGTCTAGTGTTCATTATTCTCAATATTATCTTCAGGAAATCATTTTTTTGAAAATATCAAACCAAAAGTCTAATCTATATATTGAAAAACTGACCTGAGGTATATACATAAAATTTTCCCATGGTATTTGGCCGATATTAAACATGAATATGGAATTGATACATCATTTTGCCTTGCAATAACATAGATCTCAAATATTAAACTATTAAGAATTGAACTAAAGATAAACTCTATTCATGTCAAAGCTTCAACAAATGATCAGCCAAAATTCTTTCTACCGTTTCAGCTGATAAAGTACATAATATAAAACAAAGTTGTTAAGGTTTTAGTTGTGGAGAGCACATTAAAAACTTGTATTCAAATATTTAATCTTTCTAATGATAATGCAAGGGTGTTTATGAGAGGAGAGGACACTCGATAGGCATTTTTCATAATGTCAATAAGAGTACTTATAAATTGCCTATGCTCAAAACAAGTTGTATTAGGCAAAAGTATCTGTAGCTTCATATACCAGGCAACAACAGCAGTTTGCCTTGTAGGTTTAGTGGTACCACGAAAAGTGTGAAGGAGTTGACTTTATAAGGTTATAATGATAATTGCAATAATTCTCAATAATCCCACTCATAGTCTTCACTTGAACCAGGCATGATATTCAGATCAACACCCGTAGAGCTTCCACCATAAACCAAAATCATAATACTGGCTTGCTTGTATTTTTTTTTTAATTTTTTTGTTTTTTGGGCACATAAAAATACTATGCCTATGTCTTATACTCGTTGCAACCTCGTTTTGAAGGATCTGTTTCAGTAGAGCACCCTTCAACATGTTGAACACCTGTGCTGCTCATACACAAATTCTACATGTAGCTAAATATGGATAAATGAATTAAAGATAATTTAAGATAACAAATAATAAGTACATAAATGCCTAGTTTCTCATATAAACTCTTTTTGACCGAATGAATTGTGAAAAGCTACTGAGAACAACTTACTAGATGAAAGGATAAGTACCTACGTCGACGGGGAACCACTTTGTTCCATATGGTAGAGTGTTTTGTTACTCTTAAGACTAAAAACTAAATGAATGAATACTTACATTAAACAGTGAATTCAGCAATGAGGAACAGCTTAATAACTTTGAAGAGAAAGAACGAACGAGGGTTTCTAGATCTTGAGGAGATGAGGAAACAGTAGAGAGTTTTGGCTGTTGAGAGTTTAAGAGACTTATCGTACTTTATGTATGGTGGTACGATGAGAGCCACAAGATTGAGAAAGTTGAAAAATAATAATAATAAGAGTTGTACAAGCTGGTTGGAGGGAGGAGATCTTCAATTATGTAGGCTGATAAACTCGGCATGCACAATATAAGAATTGCTTGTAGATAATACGCATTTACTGTTTGGATATCATCATTTGCTACATGGTTCTTTTCTTCTATATTTGATGGCCCACTTCATTTGAATACTTCTTTTCCATTCAGAGTTATTCATATTCTTATGGCGAATCAAAGCTTTCTGCTGTCACTGTTCTTGAAAGATTGCTTTCTGGCGGTCAAATATTTCATCAAGCATTCTCGTTTGTGAAGTGCCTCTAATCTTAGTTTATATTCACCTTCTTCACAGTGTCATTTATTTTTTAAAGTTGTTTTATAGTATATAGATGTGATAGCTGACGCAAAATTGCACCTTTTCAAATGCAGAACTAGAACGCGAAGCGGATGAAGAGGAAATAAAGGTTGCCTATCGACGCTTGGCAAAGTTTTATCATCCTGATGGTTTGTCCATAATCTTTGCTTGAAATTTTTAAGTGCATGACACAGATATTATGCATTGCTTGCATTGTAATATGAAGACACAATTATATCTTGATACTTTTCTGTTATGATCTTATTGGAGAAATCTTAATCCCTCTCAAATATCCTTTAGACATAGCACTGCATTTTTTTCCTTCACATGTTTAATATCGAATCATTTTTTGTCAATTATCTGAGGTTATGTGGAATTCATAAAAAGCATAAAAAATAAAAATAAAAAAAGATGCAAAAAAGACAAACTGTGTTAACTCAAATAGCTTGACAACGAATCAGGATACCTGGCAAAAAAATTAGCATGCGTGATTTTCGTGATCATGCGAGTCTCGGCTCCTACTCACTAACTACATATAGGACACTAAGGACTTTCTGTGTAATTTTTTTAGAAACTCAAATTTGTTTCTAAAATGAAGACAAAAATATTTGTTTTGAAGAAATCATGATTTCTATGGGGGTAGGTAAAAGTTTTATGATGCCAGAAAAAACGATCTTTGGCTGTTATTTTCACCAGTGACAAAAGCAATAACTCAGCCAGTAGTGAAGGGTTTTTCTCTACAAATGTTTATATGGGCAATGTGACAACCACACTATGAAAATGCAAGAAATTATTGACTTTTTGGTTGACAGGGGTGGTTTTATTCAGTGGGAGCGTGATTTAGAAAAGATGAAAAATCTTGAAATTAGGTAAGAACCCTGGATTGTTGAAAATGTTATAATTGTTTTAGATACATTATAATTTATTTTCAATCACAATGGATAGATGCACTAAAATGAATTCGATACTCATTGGTATTTGTTTTGGTACAAGTGCACCATTGGGACCTCCAACGTTAATTTAGTCTTTTTTCGTGTTCCAATCTGTGAACCTTCACCGACGAAACAACAAATGAAAATCCAAATGAACTACACATTATGTAAGTTATTTAGCTGCTTTGTTGCCTTTATGGCTGCCAGACTATTTTTGCTTTTAAATGATTTTACCATTGCCACTATCTATATGTTATTAGAATTTGGATACAGTTGTCAATTGCATTGCCATGGTAATACACTGAAATCTAATCACAGGAAAATCTTTCAAAGCCTCAGAAATGGGGAAAAAGCTCAGAAACGAGACCTAACTATGCAAACTTCAGGTGACAAATTCACAAATCCCTGATGCCCAATTCATAAAGCAGCAAAACTTATCTACCACTCATAAAAAAACCTTAATTAAAGTTTAATACAAAAGACGATTTCAAAAACTTCAAAACCAGAAGTTGAGAACTTTCTGTGCTCAACTACATATGAAGACACTTCAATCCCGAAATAGGCAAAGCTGAGCAGCAGTTGAATCAAGATACTGCCACATATCAATGAAGCTACCTACCATCCAGAAACATAAAAATAGTTACAGTGATATCTGGTAAATTGAAAAGGAGGGCAAATACCAAGTTCAATTAAAAAACAAATGGGAATGCAAAAGAGAAATCAAATCACAAAATGATAAGGATTAAAACATTTAAATGAGGAAATTCTTTTCTTTCCTTTTAACTCCAAACTTAGGCATTTTACAAGAAAACTGAGTGGTTAATAGTCACTCAGTAAATAATAAATTTAACCAAATATAATTGGATGAGGCAAGTGGAAAATAATAGATTCAGAGAGAAAACTAAGTATTATAATTTCCCCCTATCTTCTTAATTCCTACAAAGAGTGAAAATTGAGCGTATTACTTTATTCCTCGAATTCCAGTAGGGGAGTTCCTCCTATTGGATCTTAAACAGCTTTGTCACTGCTGGTTGATGAGGGCATAGCAGTTGACCTTTAGTCTGTCAAAGTAATACACTGAGACTGGACTTTATGTTCTCTCAGGAATAATTAGACAATAATGAGGTTGATTAGTTCTACTTATTAAGTTGGATGGATGTTAATGAGATTAATTAGTTCATAATGTCTCCATTAGGAGTCTGGTGGAACTGAGAAATGACTTAAGAGAAGGGCAACTTCAGGAGCACTGAAAGGGATCTGGATCCTTATGATAAAGGCTAAGCAGTTGCAATTTATGAGGGTAGGTAGTTGGGAGGCTCTACAAATTTCAGTTTATAATGGTATTGCAGGTTCCAATAAAAGAGCACAGTTGTATGGTAGTGAGAATATTTTAAGAAATAAGGGCAGAAGCTGAAGTTTCCAGAAGGTGTAGTTTTCGATAATCTTCCCTAATTTGTATACATCAGCACGTGATCTCGCGTCAGGCTTTCATGCTCACGAGCCTTGCTTCTAGCCTCTGAGCGTCAATTCCTCAGGGTATTCATGGAGTATATAGCTCCTCGTTAGGACATTTCAGTTTGATCAGGAACTCTATAGGGATAGCCCATGTAGGAAATGGCATGGTGCCTGGATGCTATATGCCAGTTATTGACTCCTTGAGGAGTTAGGTAATTAGTTGGAAGGAGATGAAGCATTTAGGTAAGATTTTGTGCTGCCTCTTTGAAAAATTCTTAGATTATGTCTCACTACAGAGTGATGTTTGAGCAATTCTTGATTATATATACTCTACCCCTTTTTAACAACTGAAGTAATTCGAAGCAGTGAAGCAATATCAGATCTTTTTACATGAAGTAAGGCCCATGTTTACCTTTTACAATCATATCTAGAAACCAAATAAACATCTTGACTTGGAGATTGAATAAATTCATTCAAACTATATAGCTGCATATGTAGCCTAGAGTGATCATGAATAATGATCTCTAAGTGAAAATTAAAACGACTTCCTCTTCGAACATGGCACTGCTTTTTGTTTCTTTCGTGATACGGAATTGTAGAATCAGATTTGTTTCTATGCAATTCATTCATTTTTTTTTGGGGTTTCCATAATGTTAAAGCATCTTGCTTCATGTTATTTCTTGATTTACTTGTTACAATAAACTTTTACTATGATATTTTTGAAATATTAATTTCATGGATATGTTATTTTCTCTAAAACGGATGGTTCTTAAATTCATAAATTGTATGCACGATGTTATCTTCATCATATGATCACAGTATACAAAGCAAAATTTGAGGGAGTTCCATTTCACCAGACTACGAACATAAGCAGATGTCTAAGAGTAACTGATGATACTGTAGAATCTTGTACAAGCTTGAAAGGTGGAGGCCAAGAGGTGGACTGGGGACCTCAATTTTATCCTTGACATGCTTGGTTTTCTTCCTCTTCTTGGGTCTTAAGCTACTGACCCCTTAATTCTCTTCCCCTTTGGTCTTCTTGTCGCCTCGCCTGCACAGGTCAGAGCTCCTGGAGATAACTTCATAGATGATCAGGAGGAGAGGGGGAGAATTCCACCCAATGTTCGATGCTCACATTATCCGCCACATGCCACTCTGGAGAACTGCATAGTTTTGCCATCTTCTGCCACTTATAGATTCATATTCCCATCTGAATCTGTTAAATATTCCTGAAATCTGAATTTGCATTTTATAAAATTCACTGTAGCTGGAAAATTGTTTTCCTTGGGCAAGAAACTAATATGTTTATGTGTATCAATTTTAAGTATATAATGGCAGAGGGACCTTAGAAGAGGGGGAAACAGCTGAAGCTCGATTTATAAAGATTCAGGCTGCTTATGAGCTCCTTATAGATGATGAGAAACGGAAGAAATATGATAATGACAATCAAGTGAATCCAATGAAGGTGAAAATGATTTTCATTCTGCTGATTGATTGTTCATTATTTAAAGGGTATTGCAAATATGTTTATTACATATTGGATGTGGCTAATGTTTGTCATGGAAAATCTTGTGTTCTCTTTATGTTAATTGTTGCTATTTTCTTTCAGGAGATGAAGACTGTGTCAGGGAAATTTATTAAAAGTGCCATTTGCCTAATGTTGTTCCTGTTGTTAAACATACGTTTCTTTTACACGCCTGCTACTCAAAATACAAAACTACAGAGTTCTACACTCTGCAAACTTGTGAATAGAAACTTCAACATGAATCTCGACATTATCTCATCGATTGGTCATAGTAATGTTTGAGTTAATATATGATTATTTGATACTGTTTTCAACCTCCTCTTCTTTTTTTTTTTATTGAATCTTTGATTTTCAATTGACTTCTCAAGAATGACTAGAATGAAAAGTAAAAATGTTATGCAATTATAATAAGTAATCAGCCTGCATGAAATTTAATTGAAAAGTACCATAAAGTACAAGTTGATTGAACCTTATACAATTTTTTGTTGAATGAAAAACTGCATGTGCATATATTATATATGAAATTTCAATCAACTCGTACTTGTTATGGTAATTTTCAACAACAAAAATCCTTTAAAGGAATTGAGTTCCCTTTGTTCTGCTTTTTATTTTGACGGTATTTTCATATAGTACTTTATGTCCTAATCTATTTTCTTTACCAGGCATCTGAAGCATGGATGGAGTGGATTATAAAAAAGCGAAAAGCATTTGACCAAAGAGGTGATATGGCAATTGCAGCTTGGGCTGAACAGCAGCAGCGTGAATTGAATCTTCGTGCACGTCGTCTTGCTCGTTCTAAGGTATCAAGTCATTTTCTTGATGTTAGTGGATTGCGTTCCATGGTGTATATTACGTGTGAAGTTCATCAATAGTTAATAAATTATAAAAGATTATAACTTAATATGCTTTAATTCAGAAATTAGCCCCCGTTTGGGCTCGATTTTTTTAAAAAACACAAATTTTCAAAACTCATTTTCAACCACATTCTCCCATAAAATAACTTCACACTTAATTTTCCTTATTTTTTAACCACTCATTCTCCAAAAAAAAAAAAAATCACTATTCCAAAATACATTTTTCCTCAAAAATGGGGCTCAAACGGGGCTAAATATTCTTTCGTAATCATATAGTTCGGGTTTATCCATCTATTTTTACTGGGGTCAAAAACTCTCATTTATATTTTTATGTTGAATTAAAGAAATTAACTTGGTTGAAGGAAAATATGATGTTCCATGATAGAATGTTAATACGCAGAAAAAGAAAAAATTACTTCTTCCCCCAACAAGATGTTTTTTGCTATTCTCATATGCGGAGACCGAAAGATACGTTAGGCTGAGCTGAAGTTTAATTTTCTTTCAATGAACTTATACTATAAAAGGTGTTCTAAACCACATGAGATTTAGTTTAAAACCCACTGAACCGGCCGGTTCAACCATAAACCGGTGAACTGGTAGCGATTTTGTGGTTTTCCCGATTTTTTTTTTTAATTTAAAAATTTTTAACTTCATGAATGGACCTCATAAATTACAATTCAAAGGCACATGGATAAATATTGGATGGTATGCTCATTTTATAGAAGCACTTCTTTCAAATGGTTTCATAAACTTCCAATGTGGGATAGTGGCATAACAAAAAAATGTTAAAATGTCCATCAAAATCATTTTCCAAATGTATGTCTAATTGACTAATTTGATTTTGAATCCCAACTGATTAAATTGTAATATTCACCTCCATCATTTCATTTATTTAATTTTCAAATTTAGCGTAAATCGCACTTGATTATCAATATATTAATGGTAGATATTGTTTTCTATAAGTTTAAATTATTTTAATTTAACAAAGTAAACTATTTTAACATATTGATTTTTAATTTTTGAAGTATCGTGACTAATTGTAGGATAATGAATTTAATTAACAAAGATAGATTTACTTTGAATTATTAATATGAAAATTAAAAAAAATTATTGTTTTCATAGTATTTTATTATTTTTGTATATATTTATTGCATTCGGTTCGATCCCGGTTTGACCTTAGTTGAACCTTTTGACCTTTGACCCTTCACCTTTTTCGGGTCGACGACCGGATCGGTTTTTAATACATTGGTCATAATTTATTTTTGAACACTCGTAAAAAAGTTCTAACAAATATATTTTTAACTAATAAAATTAAATATATATCATATTACTTATTTTGATAATAACAGCAATTTCATAGTCGAAATAGATAATTTTTTAACTCACAAGTATAAATAAGTAATATATGAAAAAATATATTAGAAAAAATTTAATTACTTTTAAGCTTAGTCAAACATTTGACATTTTAAATTGTTTAAACGAGTCATTTATCTTTAATCAATAAAAATTATTTGTTATATAATAAACTAATTTGATTATGAGTGAACTTTTTAAACTTAGTTATATATATGTGTGTGAAATAAAATATTTAATTTGGTAACGAGTTATTTGTGTGTCATGAATATAAATAAAATAAATATGTAATTGTTGCAGAATTTTAAGCTAAATTATTGAACATTGGACTTAGGTTGGAAATGAAGTTAATTAGGCTAAAATTAATTTTTGGACTGGGCAAATTTTATTCTTTTTAATTTTTTCACCATGAATTTGCTTCTGGGCTGGGGGCAGCCCATCCCAGCCCCCCTCTTCCTTGGCCCCTGGCTGCTATATAATTTCAGATTGACCATTAATTCTTTATAACTGACCATCTCGATGTATACTCTTAACAATGCTAACAAATCATGTTTGTTCATTGAATGTAATTTCAGATTGACCCTGAAGAAGAAAGGAAAATATTGGCAAAAGAAAAGAAGGCATCCATGGAGAATTTCAACACTTTAAGGCGACACACACTGGTCTTCTGAAGAAGAAATGAAAATATTGGCAAAAGAAAAGGCATCCTTGGAGAATATCTACAGCACTTTTAGGCGACACACACTGGTCTTGAAGAAAAGGGATTTAATGAGAAGAAAAGCAGAGGAAGAGAAGAGAAAGGTGATTAGCCGGCTTCTGGCAGCAGAGGGTCTTGAACTGGAAAAGGATGATAATGAAGAACTATAGAATGTAGATTCAAATGTGTGGTGTTTGTTCTCTGATACCTGATAAAAAATATATTTACATCGTCTCTTGGTTGTATAAGATTTATTTTGTTTGTACAAAACAATAAAAAGAATGTATAGATCCTCTCCCTAGTGATACCATTCCAAAGAGATTGATCTTAAAATTGTTTGTCATCTGGATAGATGATTCCTACGTATAAAGGATCGCTAGTTTACACTGTCGATAGAAGTTAAAAAAGAAGCCAAACATGGAGTTGGAGTTGAGTTTGGATTCTTCCTCTCCATCTCTTTTATCTGATATACGAAGACTTTAGAATGTTAGGAAGATCCCTGGTAATGATCAAGCTTTTTTTGATGAGTCCGCCAAATTGTAGCTCTGGTAACTTGAAGATGTTGCTTTTGATGTTGATAATGTTCTTGACGAGATCAACTATGAAATTTACTTCTTATGGTTTAGACTCCGAACCGGATGAAGGCTAAGGTATGGATATGCTTCAACGTAAATGCTGACGAAGAATTCCAACGCAATATGGTTATATGAATGAGTAACTGAAATTGATCAATGATGAAGCTGCTAGCCATGGATTCGGGGATGATAATTGTAGATTTGGCTCCTTCTTTGCCTCCGGTCAGGGAAACTTACAGCATAGCTTCTGAAATTGTGGCAGGAAAACAAAATGATAAGCTGGAACTAGTGAGTATATCGAATAAACTGAGCAGTGAAGCTGTTTCCGTTATTCCTATAATTGGAATGGGGCTTGGAAAGACGACTTTAGCTGGTTAATCGTCAATCATCCCCCACGTAGAAAGGCATTTCGATGAAAGAATTTGGGTGACTGTATCAGAAACTTTAGATGTGACGAGTCTTTTCAAAAGACACGAAGATTGAGTTTTTAATTCTCTCTTACTTAATATTTTATCATTAAATAATGATTTTTATTCCGTTTATAGAGTTATGCTATATTACCGGATTGATTTTATTAGAATTGTGTCGATTAACACTTGGCAGCATTTCATTGGTAGTTGAGCAAAAAAACATTTTTCAACCATTAAGTCACAAATTGCCAAATCAATCTGGCAATCTGATTCTGGTAAAATTATTTGGCAAAGTAGCAAATTATCTATATTCTAGTAATTTCTTTAAACAAGGGTTGTAAGCAATCATGGCAAGTTATTTTTGAATTGTAAGCAATCCAATGGGCAATCTTGAGTACCAGTAGCACCTTCAAAATATGATCAAATCATAGGAGAAAAGATGGTGGATGGAATTATATATGGAATTATCCACTTGTACAGAACTGTTTCTTTTGTAAAAATGACGGAATACTCATATGGGGCCCCATGGGAGTAAAATATTATTATAAAAAAATGGAGCCCACCCCTATGTGTGTATTCTGTCATTTTTACACAAACTGTAATTGCAGTATCTCTCACTATATATTCAAGGACTAAGTTAACTATGGGAAAAATCGTAGTCCAATGTTGTTAGTCAATGTGCTCCCCTCCAGTGTTTTATTGCCACTACGAGACAACGGATGAAGATCGAACGAAGAACATAGGCAAGATTTGAGGATAAATATTCGTCAATCGAAGGAGAATGATGAAGGTTGAGTTTTTAATTATCTTTTACTTAGTATTTTTATCAAATGCTTGTTTGGAATAATACTTTGATGGAGAATGTATGGTTCAAAAATAAGAAAAAGTTTTAAATTTGAGTGTAATATTATTTTATTGATGAATGTATGGTTATAAATAAGAGAGAAAAATATATTTTGGAAATAATGGGAACCAAACAAAAACTAAATAATTTTCGATTTTTATTCCTTTTATTTCAATTTAATTTTGAATATTAGTATTTTTAATGTTCGTTATTATCATCTAGTAAAAATTATCTAAATTTTTGTATTATCTAGATTAGTTATTTCTTTAAATAAGGGTTATAAGTTATCATGACAAGAAGTTATTTTTGAATTGAGAGAAATAGACTTTGGACTTTTCCAATATTTGAAATTATTTGTATTTTATATTTAAAATCACCGAGTTCAAATTCTCTATATTCGTGGGTGAATCAAAGAGTTTTTTATATCTAAATTTTTGGCACTCTTTGGAATCAATATAAGCTAGAAGGTGATTGTGTAGCAGTGTTCCTTTGGAGTCAATGGGAAGTTCAATAGCATGTTTGTTTATTTATTTTTACGCTTCCACCATCCTACATCAGTTGGTATTAGAGCGACATTTGTTCTTGATATAGATGAGTTAGTGTTTACTAAATCCAATTTCAAAAGTTTTATTTTAGGACAAAACACTCTTTGCCACTTCTAATTCGGACGTGGAAGAATCTTTGAATGTGGATGATGACAATTATGATGGTCCATCGATCTTCAATGAAGTGTTAGATGTTAAGTAAGGAGCCAATTGTCGAGTGTTGGAACAAGCTTAACACCTTGCTAGACCAAAAACCAAAGTTAAAGCCCAATGATGCAATCCACTTTGAAAGCCCAAAACTCAAGCATGATCCAGTTGTCTCCCATTGTGCACTCTCGCATCTATCAAAGTGAAAATTACACACAACCCTGTATTTCAAGATTCAAATTCAAAAATCAGGGTGAAAGTTTAATTGTTCAAAAATCAGATATTTGATATTTTAATATTAAATATTATATATACAAATTTCACCGTCAAACCCTAAAAATCATTTACCACTCTCATCTCCCTCTTTCTCTTCTCGGTCTCTCTACCCCCACCGGCGCCGGACCCACTCCTCATCCGGTACCGGAATTCCCTCATCGCACTGCGCGATGGAGCCATTGTAGTAGCTTCGTCGAACGCAGCGGGTTCTGTAGTAGCGGCGTCGAACTGTGACGCGGAGGCTCCATCAGTCTCTCGCCTATTCCGTGGATCCTTCAGATTTGTCAGTGGAGTAACATTTTATATTTTATTCTCAAAACTAAGTCAACCTTCAGCTTCGATTTGCACCCATGGATGGAGCAGACGTAGCGATCAACGAAAGGGTATGTGAAAGTCAGATTTTACATTTTCATTGGTTTTAGTCTTTTAGATCTAATGGTTTGCTGCGTCCAGAAGGAAGGAATCTGCAGCCATCGAGAATCCAATTGAAGAACAGGAAATGTGGTCCATGTCGATGCCAATGGTTGCGGGAGACATGTGCACAGGAAATGGATAAAGCCTGCAGCAAACAAATAATTAATTGATCTAGAAACGATCACTTTTGTAGTTGCCATCAGTGAACTATTATTTTTTTGTGTCCCAGTATGTAATGGATGTTGTCAATTATGGTAGACAGATCCTATATGCTTTTGAAATGGTAGTTAGGTTTGGGGAAATTATTTTGATTCACAAGATATGTCAATGTCAAATTTTAATCTGTCAATTTATTTTGGTGGTTTTCCTGTTTTTTAATTTGGTGGTGGTGGTCATGTGAGTGGTCACAGAAGTTGGTGGTGGTCACACAAATGTCGGTGGTGGTTACAAAAAAAATCTAAATGTGACCTTAAAATTTAACTGGTGGCAGTGGTGAGGTGATGGTCACGGGGTTGGTCACAAAAGTCAGTGGTGGTCACGGTGGGTGGTCATAGAAGTCGGTGGTGGTCACAAGGGTGGTCACAAATCTGATTGGTGGTGACCTTAAAATTGTGACTAAAAATTAATCTGTGACGGGGATGGTAACAAAAATTGGTGGTGGTCACAAAAAAAAAAATCTAACTGTGACCTTAAAATTGTAACTAAAAATTAATCCGTGACCAATAAATTTGAAAATATGTGACTGATAAATAACTGTGACCTGTAATTTTTTGATCTGTGACCAATAAAATAATATGTGACCTGATTTGTGACCTCGAAATAGACCGTAACCTACAAAATTTTTGATCTGTGACAAATAAAAAAATCGTGACCTATAATTTTTTTGATTTGTGACCTCAAAAATAATCCGTGACTAATTAATTATGTATATGTGACTATTAATTGTATAATTGTAACACCATTATATTTAATTAATAATGGACTTTTCCAATATTTGAAATTATCTGTATTTGATATTTAAAATCACTGAGTTCAAATTCTCTACATTCGTGGGTGAATCAAAGAGTTTTTTATATCTAAATTTTTGGCACTCTCTGGAATCAATATAAGCTAGAAGGTGATTGTGTAGCAGTGTTCCTTTGGAGTCAACGGAAGTTCAATAGCATGTTTGTTTATTTATTTTTACGCTTCCACCATCCTACATCAGTTGGTATTAGAGCGACATTTGTTCTTGATAGAGATGAGTTAGTGTTTACTAAATCCAATTTCAGAAGTTTTATTTTAGGACAAAACACTCTTTGCCGCTTCTAATTCGGACGTGGAAGAATCTTTGAATGTGGATGATGACAATTATGATGGTCCATCGATCTTCAATGAAGTGTTAGATGTTAAGTAAGGAGCCAATTGTCGAGTGTTGGAACATGCTTAACACCTTGCTAGACCGAAAACCAAAATTAAAGCCCAATGATGCAATCTACTTTGAAAGCCCAAAACTCAAGCATGATCCAGTTGTCTCCCATTGTGCACTCTCGCATTTATCAAAGTGGAAATTACATGCAACCCTATATTTCAAGATTCAAATTCAAAAATCAGGGTGAAAGTTTAATTGTTCAAAAATCAGATATTTGATATTTTAATATTAAATATTATATATACAAATTTCATCGTCAAACCCTAAAAATCATTTACCACTCTCATCTTCCTCTTTCTCTTCTCAGTCTCTCTACCTTCCCCACCGGCGCCGCACCACCCCTCATCCGGTACCCGAACTCCCTCATCTCACTGCGCGATGAAGCCACTGTAGTAGCTCCGTCGAATGCATCGGGTTCTGTAGTAGCGGCGTCGAACTGTGATACGGAGGCTCCATCAGTCTCTCGCCTATTCCGTGGATCCTTCAGATTCGTCAGTGGAGTAACATTTTATATTTTATTCTCAAAACTAAGTCAACCTTCAGTTTCG